GATTCCAAAAGTATCATGCAATACATCATCAGTAATCATGAAAACGACTCTGTGCCTATCCAAAATTGAAAATGAAATTTAAAGTAAATAATAATCCCATCTCTGTGTTGAAGAGTGTGAGGAGTTTTTATCAAATGACTAGGATTCCATGTCGTTATGGCAATAAAACGACGTTTACAACATAATTAGGTGATTTTTGTTTGTTTGTTTTTGGATTCACACATAATTAGATGACTTTAATCGATGTTTAAAGTTTAATCTGACAGTGCGTTGCATTTTTTATTCTGGGTGACGTGGAGGGGCAATTACAGCCAAATTCATTTCTCTATCACCAACTTAGGATCCTTGCACACACAGGTACAGAAATACATTTGTCAACATACAAATATTTTTTGATAAATAATTACATTTAATTAGATAGAGATAGATTTTTTTTTTTTGGGCTTCCAGATACTTCAATTCCTAATGATTAGAATGCCAACAAAGTTAATATCCTCAATTTCACGTAGTGCTGCCTGCTCACTCCTACCCTCATTACTTCTTTAACTATCTCACCAAGATCAACAAAAAATATTAAATTAAACTTATTTAAAAGTATAATAAATTTTATTTTTATTTTTATTTAAATAAAAAATATAAATTTACATTATAATTCTTTCTCATAGTTAATAAGTTTAAATAAGAGTAACATTAAAAAAATATAATTAATACTCTATCAAGTGCCTTATATTAATGACTAGATTTTAAAAGGCATCTTATAATAGTAACTCTAAGAATTTTATTGAAGATTGAAACTGAGCTTTTTTTCAATTACAGGAATTAATGAAGCTACCAACTAAAGTTTGCATCGTTATAAGTAGAAGACTTTGTCATTAAAAAAAAATAGTTGAGAGTTTGAACCTAGCTTTTGTGTATTTAGCAATAGTTGGAAGAGATCTACCCATTATTTTTAGTATCTCAGGAAAGATATTATCTTCTTTTGGTAGAACCTATCCCTTATGCTCTTAAAAAGAGAGAGGAATTGATGGAGCTAATAAAGTGAGCCTAAGAATTTAGATTTAAACTGTAATAAATTACTCCCTTCGATTCAAAATACAAGAATTTTCTCTCATTGAATTTTAGTTCAAAATATAAGTAATGTAATACATGTAGAAAATTGTTTTTCATTTTAGCTCTTGTATTTATTAACCTAAATATTAATATAAACATATCTCTCACTTATCATATAATGCATTTTAATTAAGATTAGGGGTAAAAAGAAAAAATAATATATATTGATATGAGAATGGGGAATTTATTGGTATACAAATTTTTCTCAAAAACTGATTATATTTTGGATCGGAGAGAGTAAATTACAAGAACCAAGCTATAAATTTGATAAAACTATAAGGACAAAGTAATTAATTTTTTATTTAAAGATATATTTTTGGGAGAATTTCAATAAAGACACTTGGATCATATTTATTTAAATTCAAAACTCATAAATTTTTGAAATTTTACTTCCATCCAGATTTGATATTAAATTTATGAGGGAAATGATAAATTGCCTCTTATTTAAATTAATATCTAAATTTTCCTACTTTACTTATCCATTGCTTTATTTTACTTGTTCATTTATTTACAAAATGTTATTAATTACTTTACTTCACTTGTTTATTTTTATGGAATGAAATTAAGTGAAAATCTGGCAATAAACAAGTAAAGTAAGACAATAAATAATAATAAAAAAATTAATCTTTTAGTCCTTCAACTTGTAATTCACTTGTAACTCAGTCCCTCAATTATGACTCACTGCGACTCAGTCCCTCAATTATAACTCACTGCAACTCAATCCCTCAACTTGTGATTTACCTATAACTCGGTCCTTATTTTTAAATTTTTTTAAAAAATTTTATTAAATAAGAGGGATAACAAAATGCTCATATATTATTTTAAAATACCCTCTTCTTATTTATTAATGTGAGATATAAGCTAACACAAAAAAAATTAATAAAGGTTAAGGGACTAATTTGTAAGTGATTCAAAAGTTGAGGGATTGAGTCATAGACGAGTTATAGTTAAGAAACTAAGTCACAGCGAGTCATAGTTGAAGAACTAAGTTGCAAGTGACTTAAAAATTAGAGAACTAAAAGATTAATTTTTTCAATAATAATACTTAAGTAAATGAATAATATATAATATAGAAACCAACATGTTGTCTTAAGAAAATTTAAACACTTAAAATGAAAATAAGTTAAATAGAGCAATGAACAATATTCCATAAGTAAATTAATAAATGAAGTAAAAAAGTTTTAATATTAATTTAAATAAAAGTTAATTTTGTCATTTCTCTTTGATATTTAAACCAAATTAGTACCTCTAGACTACAATAACATTTTAAAAATTAAAGGACTTTAAATTTAAACAAGTATGATCCAAGTCTTCATTGAAATTCACCCTATGTTTCTTCAATCTAGCTTTACACTGTTCTAGTCTTGTTCCTTTTTTTTTTTTGAAGAAGTTCTAGTCTTGTGCGTTAACCATCAGCTATATAAGAAAATAAATCATTAAATATAATGTAACAATGAGAAGTTTGCAAAAATGATTACATAAGATTTGGGTTTTCTATTTTTAAATTAAGAAAATGAATGACATTAACGGCTTGTTTGCTTGAGATTAAGAAAAAAATGATTTTTCTGGCCAAAAAAAGAAAACATGATTTTGATAAAGTAATTAAATTAAATATAAGGCTCTCCTTTTCAGATTAAAAAAATAAATGGTTTTTAGATGGTTTAGAGATTTTATAAAAAATATTTATTTTGTAGTGATTTTATAAAAGGGAAAAATTATTTTACATTTGGTTACAATAATAAAAAAGTGATTATTCATTAATTAGTTATTTTTTAAATTTTATGATATCTTCTTTGATTGGTTAATTAGTTAGGCCATAAGTGATATTTTGATATATTGGAAAAAGTCTAAAGCACCCTTGGTAACTTAGATAAAAAATTTTCTATTTCACAACTTTGTTATGATGAATTTATAACTTTTTTTTTTAAATTTAACATGGAATACAATTCGCATGTTTAGCTCCCAATTTTACAATTTCAAATTGGTGAAGTTGTAACTTTTTTTTTTAATTTTAAGAAAAAATATAGACATTAATGTTTGAAATTGAAAAGTAAATGTCATTATTCTAATAACTATAAGGATTTGTAAGTTTGACTCCTAATTTTATAACTTTAAATTGATAAATTTATAACTTATTTTTTAAATTGTAAGAGGGAACACAAATATAAATGTTTAAAGTTAAAAAGTAATAAAGTTATTATTTTAACAACTTCGTAGAGTTGCAAGTTTGACTTCTAATTTTGCAATTTTGTATTGATAAATTTAAAACTTATTTTTAAAATTTTAATCATATATTTAACCTTAGGGTATTTAAGTCAATTCCTTTCTAATCAAGTTTGTCAAAAAAATCATAGGACATTGTTGGCATTCTAAAATTGATTAGAACTTAAATTAAATTAATTGGTTCTCTCATAATTTAATTGTCATTCTTCCCTTTTTTAAACTAATCCAAGTTATTTCTGAAAAAGAAAAAAAAAACTAATCCAAGTTATGGTTTTTTCTTGTTTAACTTTTTCAAATCACATTTTTCTTAATTTTAAACAACAAGTTCTAAAAAAAATTATGTGTGACATTGGTGAGACTCGGATCAGTTTGTCTCCATACTGTCTAGAAAGATCCAAATTAAATAATAATGAGAAAAAGAAAGAAAATGATGTGCTAATTATTACAAATAAAAAATTAATTATTTAGTCTCCACTATCAACTTTTAAATAGGTTTCTATATTTTAAAAATTTCCATCCCATATATCCTTAAAATATTTTAGGCTTGTAAGAATTAATTCCTGTTATTAAAAAAAAGTAAAAGAGCAAATTAATTTTCAAACTATAGGTTTAGGAGCACCTAGGACCTTAATCTCATTATTGATATATTTTTTTTATAGTTTTTGAAATTATCTTTTGTTATTATCTGATCAACTAATAATCAAAGTTAATTTTAATTAACCGTAGACATTAGACTGTACCATTTTTAAAAAATTAAAAGAGAATATTATACTAAAAATGAGTTTAGAGTCCCAAATAGAATCTATAGTTTAGATATTAATTTACTCTTTTATCCTTAAAACAACTTTCTCTCCAAATAGAAAAAGCCAGCAAAACTAGAGAAGGAAGCTAAAAACCAAACAAAGACAAACTAGAGCTACTCAATGTTGCCACAGTCACTCCAACAAGCTCAATACAGTCTCCCTTTTTTTTTTTTGGCCTGAAAAACTCAATACAGCATAAGGAAATAGCTTCCAACATTTTTCATGATTAGCTTTATATGTGGCTGTGGCTAATGTAGAAATACATGCAATTGGGTTTTAATGTAGCAAAAATGGTTACTTCTTCATAACATAATAAACTAATTGAATTTTTGCTATGAAAGGTATCCTTTAGTCCTCGATCATGCCTCATACAAAATTGCTTCCAAATTTAAAGAGAATTCACACAGTATATTTGTTTAATTTTCCTTGCATTTGTATTCCATTCATTTAAATCAAACATACTGTTAATCTAGTTCATAATAACGTAACTCATATGTTCTTGCATAGAAGCTTATATTTAAATTCTATTATTAATAGGAGAATTTTATTGATCAATAATCTATAACTATATTCATAAATGCTTTTTGAGCTCTAAGGTGTCTTCTAAACTCAAACTATATTGTATGTTATAGGCATCAATCCATGCCTTACAAAAACACAAGTCATACGAGCAATCAATTTCAAGTTAGAACTTGCTTGACGCCAAATCCTTCACAAATCGTCTAGCTTGGTCACCCAAAAGGAAGATACGGAAAAGCCAGAGTTATTCTCAGTCATATATAGTGTTGTTGATGCCAAAACACAGAAAACGAAGATTGAGAAAATGTTTGAATCGAAGTGTAGGATTTCAATGCTTCAAGAAAGATGTTCAACTCAGAAGATGAGGACATCCAGTCAAAAACCAAGGCTAAAAATGGTTCACGTGATGATGAACACAAAACGGAATCCAAAATTGGATCAAAGTACGAAAGAGAAGTACCATGTTGTCCACAGTGATCTGCAGCTGAGACAAAAACACTCGTTTTCTCGTGATGACATTTATAACAGTAGCAGTAGTAATACTTATAATAATTTGTTTATTTTCCTTTTTTCTTAACCAAAAAACTACAGTTTAAAGTTTTCACCCCAACCTTTTTCACTTTTTCACTCAGTGTTCAAACTTGTAGTCTCTTTCTTACACGATCCATAATTTTTAATTTATAATAAACTACGGTTTTAATTTTCAATATGAGAAAATAAATATTAATATTTAAAAATATTTTTTATCAAAAAAAAAATTTCTTAGAACCTTAACTTAAAAAGAGATCTGCGTGTGTTTTCATAATAGAAAGAGTGAATGTGTAATTTGAGACCTTCTATAAATGCAACAGACAAAGGTCACCCCACCCACTATTGAAACCTGAGAGCTGGAAAAACATCAAACCATTGAAGCTTCAAAAATGGCCAATGTAGCTAGGCCCACAGGTACATAATACATTACACTTTGTTGATTCTATTTTGCCTTCATAACTCTGGACTCTGGCAGTTACTAATTGCTTCTAGAAATATTTGAGGGGTTGTACTTTTCTCAGAATGATACTGGCACATAGTTGAAGAGAGTCATGTTTGTAATCTGTTTGATGTATGTCATAACAAGATAGATTGCTCAGACCATTCCTTCTCACGTTTTACAAATTGATAACACACGCATTTGATTGGATATACAGGGGATTTCAAATGGATTTGTCTCAGAGATTTTGATTTTACATCCTTTTGCACTCAAAGGAGCATCATAGACACTGTAAATGTGCTCTTTCTCTGTGCTTTTTACGTATCTTTTCTTAGCAGCTTGATCAGAAAAAACAATGCAAGTGACAGCCATAGAAAGGGATGGGTTTTTTCAGCTATCTCATTCTGTTGTGCTCTTATAAGCGTTGCATATTTCAGTAATGGACTGTGGGATCTTATTTCCAAATCGGAAGACTTTAAGCAGCTGAGGTGGTTAGTTTGTTTTTTTAGAGGACTAGTGTGGATTTCTCTAGCATTTTCTTTGCTAGTCCAGAGATCTAAATTTATACAAGTTCTAAACATTGTCTGGTGGGTCTCTTCATGCACACTTGTTTCAGCGCTCAATATTGAGATTCTGTTCCAAGAGCATAACATTCAAATATTTGATTTGGTTCAATGGTTTTTACATTTTTCACTTGTTTTCTGTGCCTTCCAAAGCCTTTGTTTTGCTGCTCAGAGCACTCAAAATACCACTATATCAAAGCCTCTTTTAGCTCAAAAAAATGAAAACAAAAAATCAAAACTTTCACGTGCTAATTGTCTAAGCAAATTGACTTTCTCTTGGATTAATTCCTTATTGAGTTTGGGCTACTCCAAGCCACTAGCTCTTGAAGACATCCCATCTCTTGTTTCTGAAGATGAAGCTGCTTTAGCCTACCAAAAGTTTTATCATGTATGGGATTCCTATTTAAGGGATAGAAGCAAAAATAAAAGTACCAAAAACTTGGTTATGTGGTCCATATTAAGAGTTTACATGAAAGAGAACTTTCTCATAGCAATCCTGGCATTGCTTGGGACAATTGCTATAGTAGTTTGTCCTTTATTGCTCTATGCTTTTGTGACCTATTCAAATAGTAAAGAGGAAAATCTAAAAGAGGGTTTTGCCATACTGGGTTGTCTGATTATCTGCAAGGTCATTGAGTCTTTGCCTCAAAGGCACTGGTTTTTTCAATCCAGAAGGTTAGGAATGAGAATGAGATCAGCTCTAATGGTGGCAATATATAATAAGCAGTTGAAGCTTTCAAGTGCAGCCAGAAGAAGACACTCAAATGGGGAAATAGTGAATTACATAGCTGTTGATGCTTATAGGATGAGAGAATTTCCATGGTGGTTTCACACCATGTGGACTTCAGTAGTACAACTTTTTCTGTCCGTTGGGGTCCTATTTGGTGTTGTTGGTCTTGGTGCTCTTCCTGGTTTAATCCCTATTCTAATATGTGGGTTTCTTAATATGCCCTTTGCAAAGATCATTCAAAAGTGTCAGTCAGAATTTATGATTGCACAAGACGAACGTCTAAGGTCAACTTCAGAGATCATAAATAATATGAAAATCATAAAGCTGCAATCTTGGGAGGAAAAGTTCAAGACCTTGACAGAAAGCCTTCGTACAAAAGAGTTCAAGTGGCTGGCTAAGGCACAATTCATAAAAGCTCATGGGACATTTTTATATTGGATGTCTCCAATAATATTTTCCTTTATAATCTTCCTTGGATGTGCTCTTTTCCAAAGTGCTCCTTTAAATGCTAGAACTATATTCACCATTCTTGCCACTTTAAGGAGCATGAGTGAACCTGTTACAATGATTCCAGAGGCTCTCTCTATTATAATCCAAGTTAAGGTCTCCTTTGATCGTCTCAACACATTTTTGCTTGATGATGAGCTAAGCAATGAGATCATTGGAAGAAACCTGGTGCAAAATTCAGTTAATAGTGTGGAAATTCAAGCAGGTAACTTCAGTTGGGATTTGGATTCAATATCTCCAACCTTGAGAGATTTGAATGTGAAAATCAAATGGGGGCAGAAAATTGCGATTTGTGGACCGATTGGAGCTGGAAAATCATCTATGATATATGCAATACTAGGCGAGATACCCACAATTTCAGGAACTGTGAGTTGATAATAGAGAATTGTTTAGTTTAATGCTTTTTAGGAATGACAAAATTTTTAGTCCCTCAATTTTCCTCAGTTATTAATTTGGTCTTTGAAATTTAATTATTATCGATCAAGCTCCTAAAATTTCAAAACCATACATAATTAGTCCTTTTTGTTTAAAGAAAAAATAACATCATAAGGACTAAATGTGTGTGGTTATAAAACTTTAGAAACTTGATCAATAAGGATTAGACTTCAAGAACCAAATCAATAACTGATATCAACTTGAGAGACAAAAAATTTTGTTATCCTTTTTTATTGTCAAATTCTTGGATAAGAATTCATCATTAGAGTGTGTGATTCTAATTTGAAACATTATGTGCCTTCAAATTTGTGTCCTAACTTTGGTGTATGATTAGGTTTATTATAGCAATACCATAGCCTTTCATTTCGCATTTTATAATTAGCTTTATTATATGGCTTACATGATTATTAGACTCTCGAATCTCAAAAGCTAGTATTTTAACTTTGAAGCCTTACTCTTTTAAAGTCTATATTAATTCATTATTATATAACTCATATACTAGCTTTAAGGAGTACGACTCTCCCAAAATTCACATAACATTCGGGATTAAATAAAAAACTTCACACAGTCTTTTCTTCTTTTTTCATGATGATTAAAAACAGGCTAAGGTGGGTGGAACTATAGCCTATGTTTCTCAAACATCATGGATCCAAAGTGGGACAATTCGTGACAATATACTCTTCGGCAAACCAATGGATGAGACCAGATACCAGGATGCCATAAAAGCATGTGCCTTGAATAAGGATATGAATGCTTTTAGCCATGGTGATCTTACAGAAATAGGTCAGCGAGGGATCAACTTGAGTGGAGGACAAAAGCAAAGGATTCAACTGGCTCGTGCAATATATAATGATGCTGATGTTTATCTCTTAGATGACCCTTTCAGTGCAGTAGATGCACATACTGCTGCTTTTCTATTCAATGTAACAAGAAATTCTTTCACATTATTCCTATTATGATAAAACTATCGACCTCATTTAATAGATTAATCTTAGTTTGTATCATGTGATAACAGGATTGTGTCATGAATGCTCTAAGGAAGAAAACTGTCATTCTAGTGACTCATCAAGTGGAGTTCCTCTCACAAGTTGATAAAATCCTTGTCATGGAGGGTGGACTAGTTACTCAATCAGGATGTTATAAAGATCTTTTGACAAAAGGGACAACCTTTGAACAACTTGTAAATGCCCATAGAGAAGCAATATCAGGATCAGATCAAAATAATGAGATCCTAGGAGAATTTGAGGATGTAATAAATGTTCTTCAACCTTTAGAGTCTGATGGATTTTATCTCACTAAGGATGATAAGAGTGAGCAGGTTTTAATGAAAGGTCAACAGAGGCTACAGCTCACACAGGAGGAAGAAAAGGAGATTGGAGATGTTGGCTGGAAGCCATTTTGGGATTATATTTATCTCTGCAAAGGATCCTTACTTCTATGTTTAGTCATTTCAGCACAGGTGGCTTTCACTACTTTGAAAGTAGCATCAACTTTTTGGCTTGCTTTAGCCATTGAAGTACCAAAAGTAACGAATGGTATTTTGATTGGGGTTTACACAATAGTTTCACTTATAAGTATTGGTTTTATGTGGCTAAGATCTATCACGGGTGCACATCTTGGTTTAAAAGCCTCTACTTCTTTCTTTTCTAGTTTCAATAATGCTATTTTCAAGGCTCCTATGTTTTTCTTTGACTCAACTCCAGTAGGGAGAATTTTCACCAGGGTAAGATAACTTTATTTCTAACTATATTGGTTAATTAATTTATATAACTTCTCTCCATTCATGGATAAACATTAAATTTAGTTCATCATTAATCTTTTTTACTTGCAGGCTTCATCAGATTTGAGTACATTAGACTTTGATGTACCTTTTGCACTCACCTTTATGGCATCTGGGGCAATAGATCTTCTGGCAACAATTGGGATAATGGTTTTTGTCACATGGCAAGTTCTTATTGTTGTAGTTCCCACCATAATAGCATCGAAATACATTCAGGTTTATCTATTCCCTTATTTATGTTTGTCAATCTCTTATACGACCTCTGCTAAAATGAAGTTGATAACTTATTATCTTTTGGCTGAAAGGACTATTATCAAGCCTCTTCAAGGGAACTAATCAGGATCAATGGAACCACCAAAGCTCCAATAATGAATTTCTCTGCTGAGACATCACTAGGAGTGGTGACTGTGAGAGCTTTCAACATGGTAGATAGATTTTACCAAAATTACCTCAAACTTGTGGACACAGATGCAAAGCAATTCTTTTATTATATTGTGGCCACTGAATGGTTAATTTTAAGGATTGAAGTACTTCAAAATTTGACACTCTTCACAACCGCTTTACTGCTTGTTCTACTCCCAAAAGGACTTGTGCCCCCAGGTGATAGTTTATGTGGAATTAATTTTTTAGGAAAATTGCTAATAAGACACTCCTTAAGATTGAAATTATTCTGTAAGACCAAAGAATCAAGATCCAAGCATATAGGATTAGGGTTCAACCAGAGAGTTATGAAATCTCAAGCCTATCTGATTGTACCATAATGTTAAACTCTTTAGATTAATCATGCTTGAAGGCAGTCAACTTTATGAAAATAATTTAAGTCAATTGGTTAGATAATTCTTAAGCTTTATATATTCTTGATCTATTTTATATATTCTAGATATGGGACTTTGATTTCTTTACTTTTAATATTCCCTCTACTACTTTTCTTTTCTTTCTTTTTTCATTTTCTTCTTCTTCTTCTTGCTTAAACTTGTATTTTTTTAAACTCATCAGGTCTCTTCAATTTTTTTAATCTCTTATTTTTTTTCATTCTTTCATTTTTTCCCTTTGTCTTAGTTTTTTTTGTTTTCATCCCTAATCAAATGACTCATGATACATATTAAACTCTTTATATTAAGCATGCACCCTAAGTTTGGTTAGATACACCCTAAGTTTTATATATTCTTGATCTATCTTCTATCTTCTAGATGTGGGACTTTGATTTTTTTTATCTTTAATACCTAAGTCTATTTGCTTGCACCTTGGTCATTTAGTTCTCCAACACAAATTTGACCATAAGGAGGGACTTACTAGCAATTTTCCCTAATCTTTGTCCCATCTTAAGGCTTTCTTTTAGTTTGTTTTGACATTTTTATTTTATGTGCAGGCCTTGCAGGACTTTCTCTATCATATGCTTTATCATTGACAGGATGCCAAATTTTTTTGAGTACATGTTTCTGCAACTTATCAAATTTTATTGTTTCCGTTGAACGAATTAATCAGTTTATTCACATACCAGAAGAGCCTCCTGCAATAGTGGAGAACAAAAAACCCCCACTTTCATGGCCTTTTAAGGGTAGGATTGAGCTTCAAAATCTTGAGGTAACTAAACAAATTATGTATCATTTCAAAAACTTGTTCTTTTTTATGAAGGAAAATGATAAATAAATCCCCTCGAAATAATAAATAATAAAATAATATCATAAAATGAGATAATTACTCTAATGTCCATGGGAACTTATCTACCGTGAATATTTTTTCTGTAAAATTACATTTCTAAACCTCTACAAAATGATATAAAGCATAGTTGTTGAAACTTAAACTAAAGTTGTTAATAAAAAAGGAAAAGTTGCTAATATAGGAAGCATAGTTGTTATTGCATGACTAAGTTGAAGTTATGATCAACTGTGCTATTAATACTTAAACTGAAGTTGTTGCTATAAAAAATATACTTGTTATTGCATAATTAAACTGACAACTATACTTCCTATATTAACAATTTTACTTTTGTTACTAACAACTTTATTGTAAGTATAAACAACAATGTTTTTTTTTAATATTTTGCTTAGGGTCAAAAACCTAATTTAGCAAAAAAAAATTTGTCAATTAATTCCCTAGGGACTTCGAAGTAATTATTGCATTTCATGGCTACTTATTTGTCATTTTCCCTTACAATTAAAAAGTATGAGTTGGTGTAACACCCTCAAATTTACAAACCGATTTTTCGCAAATTATTAATTCAAGAAATCATTTTTTCTTTCTTTTTTTTTTCATTGAACCCTTATCATGGTAGAAAAATTTCTGCCATGATACATCCAAGACAATATACCACAGGTCTTAAAATATCTCAAAAAGCAATTAGAACCATGAGGGACAGACATGGTCCTCATAGCATGTTATTTAAATTAGGTCATGAATCAAAAGGGACAGACATAATCCTCTTGGACATATAAATGCATTTAATAAAAAGGATTAGAGTTTACATGCTCCATAGACAAAATATGTCCTAAGTTGGCACAAGATACATTGTATAATCCAAAATAAGAGGCAACGTAAAAGATGGTGTCTCATACACCATAATTACACCTCTGGTGCTTTCTCGGCCGGATTCGCTCCTGTAAAAATATTAACCACGGGGAATGAGACTTAAAAGTCCCAGTAACCAAAAATTAATATGTAATGATGCATGCGGATGTAACTAATCATGCGATTGCTAAGTGGGCACACAAAACATTTAACCGAACAATATTTTCAAACAAACCGAACAAGTATTTAATTTGCATGACTGCACCTTATATCCTCCTTTCGCCATGCTCGGACGCCAAATCACCCGGCCAAAGGTGAGTTGGACCAAGCGACACGCCACTTATTGGGTCCAATGAGGGCTTACCACGTGGTAATAATTAACCGAACAGAAATTCCCATTAACACCATACATTAAAATACCCTGACAAGTCATGCATCATTCAAATATCCAAACAGGAATATATCCGAACAATAATATCTCATCATGATAGATAAAAATAAATTTTTAACCCACTTGGCAATAATTTCAAACAAGTATATACAGTATTTATTTTCAATAATTCATAATTTTTCCAAACAACAAAACAACACATAACCATTCACAAACACACTCATCACAACACATTAATAATGGTTACCTTGTGTCTTGAATAACAAGTTCCCCTTCACAACTCCTTTTTCACCACTATCTTTGTCAATATAATCTACATAATTATTTCACAATACTATATATTAATTTTACATTAAAATAAATAACTCTAATTTAAATAGTTAGAAAGTCTTAGATCTATAATCCATATTAACACTAATTTAAGATTTATGCCTCATTTAACTTCCCAAATTCTTTTCTAAAATTCTCGTACCCTAATAAACTATTTTTTTTATCCTCAAATCACTTCTAGTATCACAATTTCATCCTTCTATATTCTAAAAATTCGTCCAAAAATAAATTAAATTTTTAAAATTATCCTGAAGCCTCAAATCACCTTTCTATAACCTCAAAAATACCTATTCATACTTAAATAAATATTTAATAATCATAGGTTTATCCCTACATCTCAGATTCCACATAAATTCAACCATATAGATCTAGATTTTAACTCAAAAATTCTTAAACATGAGTTTCAACCTCAAGAAAATATTCTATAATATTTATTATATCCCTAAGAGTTTTAACCTATATTTTTAATCCATCATATCATCAGATTTACTATCCTATAGAAAAAAATCCTAATCAAAATATTTACTCTATCCTACAAAATAATCATATCACTAGAAAGCTAATATTATTTAAAAAATAACTATAAAATTAATTTTGTAATTAAATAAATTTTTAAATGCTAATCTAAACAGGAAAGTTAGAACATACCTGAAGAAAAAAAAAATAATCCCCCCTTGCGAGAAAACGCCGAGCAACGTGAGAGAAAGAGAGAAAAATAATATAAAAATGGGATTGTGAGTCCCAAAATTATATAAAAAAAATATAGGTTTGAATTTAATTATTCAAACCTTTGGGCCCAAAGTTGCAATTTTCTCTAAATTGCATCTTAGCTCTCATGCTTCCTAATGCACATACCCCCTCCTTTTTATACATGAAGGCACCTCTTCTCTTCCCTCATCTAACCAATGTGGGACTTAGAAACAACAACCTTCCACCCCCCCTTTTTTTTTTGTTCCTTCTACCTTCTCTTTTTTTTTAACACACACATAAAAAAAATTATTTATGTATTATATCTTAACTAAATATTGCTTATGTGGTTTTAAATTTAAATTTTTAAATTCATAATTAAATACCTAATCATAATATTATTTCTAAATAACCTCAAATAATATAAATTCCTATTATTATCATTTTTTTCCTCAAAACCTAAATTCCACAATTTCTTTATTATATAAAAATCAGGATGTTACAGTTGGAGTCTAATCACTATTTTTTCAAGATTGAATTCAGATTAGATATCATCCAAATGCTTCATTAGTCCTCAAGGGAATCACTTGCACATTTGAAGAAGGGAATAGAGTGGGAATTGTAGGGAGGACTGGAAGTGGAAAAAGTACACTTGTAAGTGCTTTGTTTCGCTTGGTTGATCCTACAAAAGGGGACATTCTTATAGATGGAATTAGCATATTACCAATGGGATTGAAGGATTTGAGAATGAAGCTGAGCATTATTCCTCAAGAACCCACTCTTTTTAGGGGTAGCATCAGAACCAACTTGGATCCTCTTGGCCTCTACTCTGATAATGAAATATGGAAGGTGAATGAATCAATGAATTACCTCTACACTGGAAAAATATATAACTATATTAAATCTTACTATATTCTAAATGAGATTTTTACTAAGTACATATTTTGATGTCTGCTATTTGATCATTGTAGGCTTTAGAGAAATGCCAGCTCAAAACAACAGTCATCAATCTACCAAATCTATTAGACTCTTATGGTGAGTTTGATCCTGAAACTTGATACATGTTATTGAAACTATATTTTCATGTTATAAAACTTCAAATCAAATTTTAAGATGCAAATATAACTTCATAACTATAATTCTAAAAATCTTAACAGTGAGTGATGAAGGAGAAAATTGGAGTGTGGGACAAAGACAACTCTTTTGTCTTGGAAGAGTACTTCTCAAGCAAAATAGAATTCTTGTTCTTGATGAAGCTACTGCTTCCATTGATTCTGCCACAGATGCCATTTTGCAAAGAGTTATCAGACAAGAGTTTGCAAGATGCACAGTTATAACTGTGGCTCACAGAGTCCCAACTGTAATAGATAGTGACATGATCATGGTTCTCTCACATGGTATGTCAGTTAGTTGTTTCTCATGATTTTCATATGCCAATCTTATCTATGAGTTCTAGCCAAAAAATAATCTTATATCATAGAGACTTGGTAGTATAAGATATCAAAGTTGTCTATTGAGTAGTATGGAATGTTCAATAGTGTATTTAGGTGCGTCAATTCTCCCCCCCTCAACAGTTCCCCATCCCAATTAAATGCCTATCATCATCTAAGATTTTTTATGTGATAAAAAAATAAAAACAACAACAACTGTTGTGTTTTGTGTTTGTGTGAATATAAGTAAAGTGGTGGAATATGATGAGCCTTCTAAGCTAATGGAGATGGACTCTTGTTTCTCTAAACTTGTTGCTGAGTATTGGTACAGCTGCCGCAAGAACATCTCTCATGTCCCAAATCTTTATTAGTCATCACCAGCAACAAATACGAATGAGGATTGAGAATATTTGCAGCACAAAATAAGTTGCACGAATATCACTTCTGTAAAATCGCATGAATGTTGTACCTTTATTTTAATTTCCTCCCTTGCCTTACTTTTTTCAAGCTTTTTGCAAATTAAGAGTAGTTTGGCCCCTTTTCCATTTTTATTGTGGAAATAGTTAAATTATAAAATAATCATCAAAGGTTAAACCATAGAATTTTTACTATTGTTTAATATTTAACATGTATTTTGTGATCTTAAAATCTTGAGCCACTCAATACAAATCTGAATGAGAAAATTTAATTTAAGTAATTAAGCTTACATAGTTAATATATTTTTATACTTAAATTTGAATGTGTTTATATTATATGTTTATATTAAAATAAGCTTATATTGTTATTAAGTCTCACTTTATCCCATATGGGATTTACCACATCGGCTCTAATTATTTCATACTTGAACAACCTAACAATTTACTTCTTAAGTATTCACAAACTTTTCATATTAAAAATACAAACACCAAGTCCCTACTCTTACAATCAAATTTATTGATGCAGAAGTTCTCAAAGATTTCAATAGAATTATGATATTTTAAAAGACTATAATGTCATTTATATAATTTTAAGAGATTTTATTTTTATTTTTCCTTTTTAAAAACAAAAATAAAAATAATTTTGAAAACAATTAAATCTAAAACACTTATTATCAATAGGGGTTGAGTCGAGTAGTAATCCCCCACAACATGCAGTCAAATGTTCTAATCCCCTTCGAGATAGGTGCTCACATTAGATGTTCACCCGTATCATGAACAAGATTATCTTCAATAAAAAGAGCAATAAGAAGAAAATCTAAAACATTTGTCTAAGTGAAGTTTTGAATATTTTTGGTTTCAAAAACAAAAAAAAGAAAAGAAAAGATCTTTTCCCTGATATTGTGAAAGATCATGAAAATCATAATCGAATTAAAAGACCAAAAGAGATCTAATTGACCATTAACTTCCAAAACATCATCCCCTTTTGTTAAACCCCCCCCCCTTTTTCTCTCTCTCTTTTCTTCTTTAATTTTCCCCTTTCCAAATGAAAGATGATGCCAACAAAAAAAAAAAATTCAATAGTGAGGCGTCTCCATGAGGATCTTGAAGTGAGAAATGGCCATTCTAGGCTATGCATTTGGGGATAAAAATAATGAGGATATAATAGGCAATTACGATTTTCTGAATTTTTTTATTAAATGTTAACTCGATTTAATCTAGCCAAACTAAATTCTTGAAAAAATAAAAAGGACAATGAGGCAAAAATGCTCAATAAATTATTGATCAGAAGTATCCAATAAATTAAAGTAAAAAAAATAATAAAAATATTTATAACATTATCAAAGTTAATACAAAAACTGAATATATATATATATATGTGTGTGTGTGTGTGTGTCAGGTTATGGATATTTTCTTTTTCAAGGGACATGTTATTGAAGGAGTAGATTATCACCCACATGTTTAGAAAAGCAAACATGTGTGGGTGAGAGCAGGTAAATAATGTAGCTTAAGCAACTGTGAGTTCCAGTTATCGGGGATTCCATTGAAGTTAAAGGTTAATGTGGAAGAGCGGCAGAGTGAAACACAGAGAGAAGGAAATAAAAAAAAATAGATTCTATTTTCAAAAATAGTTTTTGTTTAAAAAAACAATTTTAAAAATTTGTTTGGAAAGGTATTTTGAATCCAATTATTTTTAAAACTATTTTTGTTTTTTAAATAAAAACATCTTAAAATTTGTTTTAGTTTTATTTTTATTTTTAAATACATTATATTTGAGTATTAAAAACTACATTTACCTTAATTAATAATTATTATAAAACACTATCATTGACTTCCCATAACCATTACCATTGAATGATTTTTTAATTCTAAAATTATTTTTAAATCAACACAATTAAATAAATGTTTTTTATTTTAAAAAATATATTACAAATTAGTTTTTAAAAATAAAAATAAAAACCAAACATATCCTACATCTAGAGACTAGTGGTTTCATGAATGATGAGACATTGAGACTTATTAGGTTTGGATTTTTGAAGGTAATGGAGAAGCGCGTGATGGTGTTGGATGATTTATCTCCTTTTTTTATTTTAACCTATTTGACTCTTTTTTTATCATTTTGTACTTTATATCAATTTTAATAACATTATAAATATTTTTATTTTTTTATTTTAAATTATTGAATGTTCCAAGCCGACAACTTAGTTAGTATTTTTGATCCTTTATTTAAATAAAAAATAAAAATGAAAAGCAAATACCTAAATAAATTCTGATGGATAAGACGCCAAATTTTAGGTTCAATATTAATCCCTACCTATGGTGGATGTGGCGGGAGGTCATGTCCAGCTTGAAATGGCACACCAAATGTCTAGAGTTGCTTAATAATGCATATGAAGGATCGTGTTATTGGTCACCAATAAAGTGAAAGTCACTGATATAAAAAAAAATTAAATAATTAATTCGGGCTATCTTTAAAAGAAAAAAATTGTTTTTTTGCTGATAAAGTAGTGGACCGTGCATCAGAAAAAGGAGAAGCACGCGGACAGTACTAAACAAAAAACGCAACCACAAATTCACAAATTGGTGAAAAATGTGTAAAACCATATATATTGTAAAATAATTAGATTTACTTTTAGAAAATAACAATAAAATTCTTTTCGATTAAAGTAAATAATCAGACGATCTCTCAAAATTTCATAACTTTATTGAAATTTCAAAAAATATATTTGTCAATCAATTTTAAATTAAAAAAATTATTTTATTTTTATTGATAAATTGTAATTTCTTAATCATTTATTGTGATTCTTTGAATAAAAATTATGATTTCTTAAATAAAAATTATAAATAAATTTTTTCATTTTAAAAATTATTTTTAATAATAAAAATTATATTTGATAAATTATAATTTTTTGTACAACTCTTACAATTCACATAACAAAAGTTGTTATTCTTTAAATAAAAGCTGTAATTGAGAATTATTTTTTAATGACAAAAATTATACTTAACAGGTTGTAATTTTTTATTTAACTCTTATAATTTACAAAATAAAAGTTACGATTTCTTAAACAAAAATTATAACTAAGGCTTGTTATTTTTAATGGGGTAAAATGATTGTTTTACTTTAAAATTTATTGACATAAAGGTACCTAAAGATTTCATTAAAATTATAATATTTTGATAGATTAAATTATCATTTATATAATTTGAAAGATTTTATAATCAATTTCCAATTTATTTTCCATGCAATGCTTGAAAATAATTTCATTTTTAAAAATTAAAATAAATTGAAATATAAAAATTAAAAATTTATTTATTGTAATGTAATTTTCTTTTAATTAATATGAGGAGAAACTTTAAAATCATATAAAAAATAAATTTAGTATTAAATTCTACCCCTAATTAATTTAAGAATAGAATTTGCGCCTCACAACAAACATTTTTAAATCCCGCTGTTCCTTGTTAATTAAAATCTAAACAATAATTTTTATTTTTTATTTTATTATCTTTATGCATATTAATATATATAAATAATTTTAAAAATTTCTCATCCTCGACAAATTAAAATATAATTGACTTATCTTCTTTTAGAAATTGTTTGCACACGCATCATCTTAAGGAAAATAATAAACTAGTATTATAATAATATATGTCATAATAATATTTATAAATCATAATTATAGTCAAAAATAAAAATAAATAAAAAATTTTGTATAAGTGAAATAGTTATCAATCATATATACGTTAAAGAATAAAATAATTAAAGGTGGATTTATAGTGCATGACACACTACGTTATAAAAGAAGCGAAAGGCACAAAGGCTTTTCCGAATTAAATTTGCCTCCATTTTCAACAACACAATGCTAACTGAATTGGATGTCCTTTTCTGGGAAAGCAAAGAGAGGATGACAAATAATTCGAGATATTTAAAGGAATCCCAGTTTAGGGCCAACATATGGTTCTAATATTATTTTAAGGCCAAGACATTATAAAATTGCATTTTAAGATCTTTGTTGGAGGGGAGAAGAAGTTGTAATGAATTTAATTTTAGAAAAAATTACATCCAACCCCCTCCTAAGAGAATTAATCACAAATAAAGATTAATGTAAAATGAATTGTTGTTAAAATAAGAACATGAATTTTATTTTTAATAAAACTTTTTGTTAATCCTTATCTGTGATTAATTCTCTTGGAAGGGACTTGGATGTAATTATCTTTTAATTTTAAACAAAATACAAAAGTGTCATAAAATTGCAATGGAAAGATGTAAAATGAGAAAGTTAAACACAAGTAATTAAAAATTGTGAACCTTAGCTTATTTTTGTAATTTCAATTGAACTCGTTAAAATTTCATCTTCCCTCATTCTGTTCTCTTCAACACTCCTTATTCAAGGAATTGATTTAATTACTTTCCCTAATGAAAGTACTTAAATAACTTTATTAGCTAGTTTTCTAAATCTTGGATGTCAAAATCTAGACCTCATGAGTTGCAAATTCTCATATTTCAAGATCACGTTTTGAGAGATAATTATCAAGGGTATGTTTGGTTTCTATTTTCAAAAAATATTTTTTGTTTTTAAAAATAAAAATTAAAAAATACATCTAGATAAGTGTTCTTGATTTAATTATTTTTAAAACTATTCTTATTTTTTGTTTTTATAAACAAAAAATGAAAACATCTTAAAGCTGTTTTCATTTTTTAAAAAACACACTATGTTTAATTATTAAAAATATAATTAGTTTGATCAAATTCTATCATAAACCACTATAATAAGCTGCCTACAATCATTAATATTAACATATTTTTTAATTTTAAAATTATTTTTAAATTAACATAACAAAATAAAATTTCATTTTGAAAAATAATTCTAAAAACTATATCATAAAACAGTTTTAAAAATAAAAATTGGAATAGAAACCAAATAGAGCCCAAATATCTATACCAAAAACAAGTTTTTTTAATGTTAAATTGTAAAGCATGCATACCACACTTCAATGTCAACTTTTAGAAATTAACTATAAAATTTTTAAACCTATGGGTCCTACAAGTTTTTAACATACTCCTTCCCTTTTTGTATATAAAATATTTTCAATTAAATCTCATATATCAATAAAAATTTATTATTTAATTAAAAATATATAAAAGCACAATAATTTTTCAGTTTTATCCATAACAATACTATAATTAATATCATGATAGTGAGTAAAGCACAATTAATGCCTCTTTCACTTTTCAAGACAATGAGGATAAAATTTTTAAATTACTCAAAATTATCAAGATATCCCTTATATTAAGAGACAAAACAAACTTCTAAAAAAAACTCTTATATATAGGAACAAATAGAGTAAGTTACAAATAATTGTATTTCAATGTCAAATTTTGAAGCTATAAGAAATCCATGCCATACAGTCTAGACAGAGTGTTAAATAAGATTTTTTTTTTTTGGTCGAATAATTTTTTTAAATCTTCTATGTTTTAATTTGCAACATAGGTATAAGTTGCAAGCTAAGATCTCATATTGAGTGTCAAATTTTAGAAGATAATTGTAATAAAATCCTACAACTAGATCATCATTCCTCAAAGTAAAATTATGGTTGTGTTTTGGTTAAGCTAAAATAATAAATAACTCAAAAAAGAAAGAAAAAGGAGGAAAAAGAGAGGAGTTGGTTTGGTGCTTTATAATTGGTTTAAATGAATTTTTCTCCCACCTTCTCCATCGTTTCATGGAATCCCACAACAAATAATTTTCTTTTAGAAAATCACTCTCAAATTTAACGCTAAAATCTAAATACAAAAAAGTCTTATAAAGTTATAAAATTAGTTTAAAATTTCTTGTTTCTTAATACTAAATATCTTAATTATTGCTAGATAGTTAATTATTGATGCTCAGTTGTCGACTGAAAACTCCATTAACAACTATTAAATAATAATTGACAATTTCAATATAGCAAATTGACAGTTTTAATTAAAGATATGGGAATTTAAAATATTTTTTTAATTTCATAAAAAAATTTATATTTAAATTCATTGCGGGATTTTAGAGTGATTTTTTTTTTCTGAATTTTATGTCATCACAAAAGCTAAAAAAAATGGTGTTGTAAACATGACAATACTTTTCAAATGTCCATTTTGTCCCTGAACCACTCATTTAAAACACAAGAGTTTTCACTATCTATAAATAAACCTGAGTTGATGCAGACCATATATATTTCTAGTTCAACATTGACAAAGTCCTTATCCAATATAGCGTAATTTTCTAAGCTCTCTCTCTGTGTCTTTGTTTAATTAATTGTTTAAGTTGGTGAATGGGTAATTAAAATACGCATGATCTGATTGAGAGAGATTTTTTTTTTTTTTACCGGGAAAAAAAATTGATCTGATATTTACCTCTTTTACGCTAATGATTGAATTAAAGCCCTTTTTTTTTTAATGCAGTGCTGCTAGGATTACTAAAGTTGAGTCCTAAAAAGCATCTCGGCAAAGAAAAAGGTCATACAACTCATAAGTTTTTTTTATTTGTCGCCCAATTTTTTGGAAAACTTGAGGATAATATTATTATCAATCCAAATTAATATGAACCCACAATGTGTGGGATTATTATTATCAAAAACAGTCTCACAGTGTTTTAAAATATCTTTGACATATAACTGTATATTTTAAGATGAACTCAAGACCTAATAAGGTAATTTAACTTCATCGATCAATTAAACCAAGCCTTATAACTGGAACTAGTGCCATGTGAGAAACTATATATTTTTCACTGATGTTAATATATGATTGGACAATGGACATAAGGTGCTTAACTTCCTCAAATTGTACGGTAAAATGCATGCTTTTATTCATTATATTCTTAGTCATCATCAAGATTCATAGACGGAACACAGCCTTATTCTGCAAAATTTGCAGCAGCGCAAGAGCTAAAAATGGATAATTGGCAAGCAACTAATTAATTTTGCTTCAACATTATCAGCTGCTATTTAACGGAGGAACTGGTATGGCTTGAGGCAGGTTTTTAGGAGCATCCATGGGAGTGGGTCCCGCCATCTTCTTGCAATCAACGGCCATGGTTGGAGTAGAATCCTCACTGCTTTTGATTGCTGGATGATGACTGTTGATTATACGGAGCAGCACTTGCATGAGCTCATCCCCGTCAACCCAACCATGCACCTCTGCTTTAATGCTGTTGGAGTTCTTGGAAACCAAGTCACACAATGCAAAATCCTTCCTCGGCATTAAACTATCAGTGTCTTTCAGCCTCAAGCTTGGGCAAAAGTCTCCACTTCCATCTCCAAGATAGATGAATTTCTTGCTCTTCCCTTCTTCTGCAACACACTTCTGAATCCTTTCTATGATCTTTCCCTGTATAAGATCATTTTTCAAATTAAAATTTCATGTTTTATAGAGTTGGGTTGAAAAAAATACATACATACATACACATATATATATATATAAGGACCAGAGAGTATTATTATTATAATGTATTGGAAAGTCACACATTGATTAACTAACAAATGGAGTAAATGTATGTATGTTTTTTTGATGGTAAACAATAGTTTTAACTAATTCAGATTGAGTCAGATCAGAACTCTTTCAGGTGAAAACTTTCCCCCCAAATGTTGCTGCATTTTCATGTCTCGGAGGTACATAAATCAACAAAGTTTAATAATCATACGTTATGGACTAGTATTGAGTCTAATATTATCTCAAAGTGAGTTAAATCAGAATGAAATTTACTTTGCACATGTTTGGAGGACATAGATTGCATTCATGGGAAGATTTTAGATAATCGTGATAAGGAAAAATCCTGAGCCTCCCTTCTTCATCAACAAAGCTGGGGTTTGCTATTATCTCTGAGAAACGATCCGACACGCCATGATGCTCCAGAATTGTCCGAATAAAGAAGATATTGGCGTCACTAACAATCTTCAGATCACACCTACAGAACATAAAAACACAAGTTTTGGTTTGGCAGGCAGGAAAAAACGAAAGAAAATGAAGAGAAAAACACAGAGAAAAAGAGAAACAGAGAAGTACAGACCCGAGAGAGTAAGCTGCCTCAATGGCAGGAACAATGTGAGGATGCATTGGAGTTCGTTTCAGAACTTGTACAATTTGTTCCATGGATTTACCTTGTGAATGAAGCTCGCTCATTGTCTTATCCTGAACAGTTTCAGATCAAATGGAAACTCAGAATCATTTTGCAGAACAGAGAAATTAAAGCAAGAAACAGAGGAAAAGAAAAGAAAACCATAAGGGGTTCCAAGGTGTGTTTGGAAGGAGTTGATAGAACTTGTCAGTTAAACCAAAATGATCAAGAACCCAGTTATCACTATCACAATCAATTATTGTTGAATCAAAGTCAGAAATCACTACAATCCCTGCCATTTTCGAGTTCACAGAAATTGATTTTCTGGTAAGCAAAATACTATCAGCTAATGATGCTGCGTGAGACAATGCTTGTGATCAGGGCATGGTATTTATAGGGGAAAAACATGTAAGCTTGCACGTAAAAATAACAAAAGTGGGGTCTTTAGATTCCGGGAAATATTACAATTTACAAGCTTAGCGAGGTTCTTTTTATTTATTTTATGGTCAATGCTTAGTGAGAATATGAATAAGCTAGTTTTTGTTTTTTTCACTTTTCTTCCTGTTTGTTGTTTTGTTTTCAAATTAATGTTAAGTGTATGAGTATATAACTAATCATGCAGCTTTTGCTAAAGAAATTGCTGGTGAAAAAGCTGAATGCACAAGCATTGATCAAACTTCAAAAAGCTCTCGGGGCAAGTGGGAATGAGAAATTAATGAGGACTAATAAGTAACCGTTTGGTTGTACCTTAGAAATTATTTGCTTTAGGGATCATTTTACCATATTTTGTTTGTTCTACTTCATGCCTTTCCATCAAAGGAATAGGCTTATGAAAAGGGCATTTACATCTTTTGGTATAATATACTATATGAAATTAAAAAAAAATGAATTGTCAAAATTTTTTTAAAATAATATAAAGAGTATCTTTCATCAACAGTAGAGATTAATCTATTACAAAGATGTTAAAAGTAAAAGAAATCATTTATAACAACAAAATATTATAATTATATTTAATATAAAATTTTTATTATTTTAAGGGTGTTTTTGTTTTTATCCTCTCACAATTCCATAAAACCAACTATTAGAAATGCATTTCTTTTTCATTTTGAATCATAATATATTTTTTTCCTTTTCATTTCATTCATCTTTTCTTTTCTATTTTTGTACCCTTCAATTCTACAAACGAAACAAGGCCTTATATAGTTTGGGAGAGAAGGGACAAAAATGAAAGAGGAGACATTGGGGGGTTAAGCAAAGGGGAAGTTGATTTTTTTTAAGGAAGAATTACATATATATATCTCAAATAAAAAATTAATTATTTATAAATTCTAACTGCTTGTAAATACAACGTTTGACATATGAATGAGACTAATAAAAGAATTAATTTCGTTATTTTAAAACTTGTTTGTAAGTCTCCAAAAACAAGAGAAAATAAAAAAGTTAGTAGCAAAGTAGGGTTTGGGAAATTGCAGATAAAAATGGGTGAATATTTAAGGCAACACCAATTTGCAGAAATAATGAAATTACCAAATGGTCCAAGAGTGGGGACACGACGAAAATTGTTTGGTAACTCATTCAATGAGGCTTGACCAGAATAAGAATATACTTCCATTTTGACCAAGCTAGGGCTAAGAGAGAGTGACTCTTGTATGTGAAGGATGGGTGCCTATTCAGGAGCCTCAAAAAGGGATTCGAAACGTGAGCACAAGAAGGAAACTCCATAGCTGGCTTTTTAATTAATAATTCCACACACAAAAAAAAAAATTTAATTTATTTGTAAAAAAAATTAGGTGAGTTAGACCTTAAATTCACCAGAACACACATCTAAATTTAAAAAGCGTTTATAAAAATGCTAATAAAATCCTCATAAAGTGAAATTTGGCCTTACAATTTGTTGAATTATGAGATAAACTTTTACCAGCTAAACTTACTTTTATTGGCAATAAAAATGATAGAACTATTTCTTTTTTAATAAAATAAAATGTCTACTCCCCATGAGTTACATGTGTGTGTATTATATGTAATTAGAAGGTTAAATTAAAAGCATATGTTTCTCAATTCATTTCGATTACAAATATACGTGAGATATCCAAATCATGTACCGCCTCGGTTTCAAATATAAAATATTTTTAACTAAAACAAACTAATTTAAGGAAAAAATTAGGTAATTCAATTTTCAATTTTTTCTAGCTTTATCATTCTTTGCTATTTTGAATAATTAATTATTAGGTTAAAGGACTTTTTTCCTTTAACTATTTGTACAGAACATATCTTAAATTTTTTTGTAGTTCAATATCTTTCTTATCTTAAACTTTTTTGTTGTTCAATGTTTCTCTTTTATAATTAAAAACGGTATAATGTCACTCATTTTGTTAACAAAGATTAATTTTAATCATTTGTTAATTCAAAAAAGTATAGACAAGGATTTAAAAATTAAAAAAAGACCTAAAAAATACAAATAACAATCATATAAGCAATTTAATGCTTATTAAGTCCCTTAGTTTACAAATAAATACCAACAAACAATTGTTATTTCTTATGATGTAAAAGGCTAAAATATTACTTTAACCAATCCATTATCTGGTTGAAAATGAGTTGTATGAGTTATTTGATTACTATAGAGGGAGTATGTATTTTATGTGTTAATTTTTTTAAAATAAATAATAAATTCTTTGGATGTGGTTATTTCACTCCAATTATAAAGACTAAAGAGTTGAGAATATTTTTAATTAATTACTCCTTTAGTCTTATTTATAGACTAAAGATAAGATTAAATTTAATTATATCTATAGGGTATTTCATTATTTTTTATGTCTTCTGTAACATCCCTATTTTAATTTTGAAAATTAATTAGAATTAGCAGTGGTTAAGGGTAATTAAATTTAATATATTATTATTGATTTAACTTAGGACACCATTTTTAAACTAAGATTGATTTTTTACATATATGCATGCATGTATTAAATTATTTTTAACTTGAGAATTATTTCAATATAATGGGAATCATATCTAAGCAAAATATGTAAAGAGTTTAATTCTAATTTGTAATTTAATGTTAATCCGATATTAAATAATTATAGAAGAGGATTAAAATACTTTTTTTAAAAAAATCCATTCAACAATAATAACTTGTGTAGAATAAATAAATAAATAAAAACAAATAATAATACAATAATAAAAGAATAGAAAGGGGGAAAATTGGCAGGACCCACACCTTTTATTTTCCTCACCCACCCACATCATACCATGCCATTTGAAAAGATAAAAGGGTAAAAATATTTACAAAATAATTAATCATGAGTATCCAATATCATAAAGTGAAAAAATAATAAAAATATTATAACGTTACATGAATGGATGTAAAACTAATCAGATCGTTAACTTTGACCTAACATAATTAACTTTGATTATTAAATACTGACTGTATATGCCAAGTGTCAGTCTTTGTTGATATGGATTAATAAAAGAAAAAAATAAAGGAGAAATTTATTTGTGGTAGTGAACTGAAATTTTTTAAGAAAATAAAGGTTTAAAAAAATTGGGATATTTTTGTGATAATTAAGAGTTTATTTGAATTTAGAAAAATGCTTGTAAGATATTGAGATGATGATTTATGGCTTGAAGCAAGTCTTGAATTTTTGGGATTTATTAAAGAGAAAATGACAATTAAGAACCTTTTAAGAATATTAATCTCAATTAAAGATCATAATATTTTAAAATCCCGATTAAGGATCATGGGATAAAAAAAATATAATTTTTGAGGTGGGATTTACTAATGCCACTTGAGAATTCACTAACCCGACTTAAAAAAATTACCAACGTATATTGTAAAAATATAAACCTCCATTTAGGAATAGATTGTTTAACAAAAAGTACCACTTAAGAATTCACTAACCCGACTTAAAAAAATTTCTAACATATATTGTGAAAATATCAAACTTTACTTAAAAATTGATTCTTTAATAAAAAGCACTACTTAAAAATTCACTAACCAGACTTAAATCTTTTTTAATGTATATTATAAAAAAATGAAACCCTAATTGGGAAACGGTTGTTTAACAAAAAGTGACTTGTCCAAATTGAGGTTTTTTTGTTAAACAATCGATTCTCAAATGAGGTTTCATTTTTTCATAATATACGTTAAAATTTTTTTCAAGTCTGATTGGTGAATTCCCAAGTGGCGCTTTTTAAACAATTGATTTCTAAGTGAGGTTTGATTATTTCACAATATACGTCAGAAATTTTTTCAAGTCGGGTTAGTAAATTCTCAAGCGACGTTAGTGAATCCCACTTCACAAACTATAATTTTTATCCTAATTAAGGATCATGATCCTTAACTGGGATTTTAAAATGTAATAGTCCTTAATTGAGATTAATATTTTTAAAGGGTTCTTAATTGTCATTTTTTCTTTATTAAATGAAAAATTAAGGCTCCCAAAAGGTTAATCATGTTAATGGAAAATTAAATAAGTGTATTAGAAGTAAATTAACAATAAAGATAATTAAATTTTAAGATGTAAAGCATGTGAAAGGGTGTTAGGTTAATGAGGGTAACTAATCTAGCCTTAGAACTATGCTATGATTAGTATGTAATCACAAATATTAATTATAGTTGGTATTAAATATTATTTCGGAGCATGATGTTAGCATTGTTGATTTCAAGGAAACTTGCTTATTAGGAGCAAACTTCCACTAGCATAAGATGACAAACTTTGACCAGGACAGGATAGCCGATAGTAATTAAGACCACACGATTGACTTTCATTAGGACCAAACCACTGGCACTGATCAAGATTAGAAGACCAACTTCCACCAAGATTGGATTGTTGGGACCAAACATCCAACTTCTAATAAGACCAGATTGTTGGCACCGACTTGGATTGGACCAAACATCAATCGGGATTGGACCGTTAGTTTCAAACAGGACTAGACCAGCAAATTGGACTAGGATCAAACTATTGGCACTAACTAAGATTGGATAGCTGATTTCCATCAGGGTGGCAGCGATGAGGATTGAATGTCCAATCCTGCTTGATGTCAACTATTCAATCTTAATGAAAGCTGATTATCCAATCCTTATCTATGCTAGCAATCTAGTCTCAGGCAGCATTAGCGGTTCAGTCTTATTTGAAACTAGTGGTCTGGTTGAGACTGAACCACTAACATCCGAGTTATTTTTAAATTCAAACATTGAATTCAAAATTTAGAATTTTATTTAAGATTTAAATAAAAAATTTTAATATTATAATTTAAAATTTTTTATAGGAAAAATGAAAATAAAATTTCTTTGAATTATATAAATGACCATTTGATTCCTCGAAATGCTATAATATCAATGAAGT